TGTAGTCCGCATGATTTTTTTACGAAAAAAAAAAAAAAAAGCAGCTCAAAGCTTTGGCTGTGTGTTAAAACTGCTACATTAACACTGTCACCATCACCGACAATAAATGGCAACAACAACGTCTACAATTGCCAATATCGTAATGAATGGTAATAAACGAAATGGTCGTCTTCATCATGTACTACCGTGAAACAGATAATGATGGCCAGGAAATGGGTAGGAAGAAGAAGACAGAATCCTAATAAGGAGGAGGATGTATATGTCGACATAATCACAGAGACCAAACACCTTAGTTCATCTACCTACGTTTGGTGCTGTCTAAAATTTCCTTCGTTTCTGGCGTTTCGTCCGCACTTCGTCCTTTTGGTTCCCCAGCACCAATCAGAGCGAAATCAAGAAAAAAAATTTTTCTTTCTTCCTTCGCCCATCGCTTGTCGATAAGATTGAGAGAAAAAAAAGAAGGCGGTCTTTAAGCGGACGGACAAACACATAAATATATATAAATATAAATTTGCAAAATGCATGTATCGTCATTATCAGTAGCAACAGCAGCAACAGTAGAGGCATCAGAAGGAACGGGACTGTATTCATCCAGTCCAAAAAAAAAAAACCGGTGCAGTTATCCTTCTCCTCCAACAGCCAACATCCGTCATCCATCATTCATCCTCGTTATCTCTGGTTTCCACCATCGTCATCAGCTAACTAAAAAATCATTTGTGTAAACCATGTTTTTCATTTCCAATGGTTTCAACAAGCTGTGGTGGATATCCACAGTGGTGGTCAACATTGGTCAACAGCGTTATTAAAAATATTTTAGTTGCTCCTTCAGTATGATCTTCTTTTCTAGTCTTTTTTTCTCCAAAAAAAATTCTTTTTTATTTACTTTGGTTTTTGTAAATTATATGACTTCTAAACGAAGAATAAAATACAGCATTTAAACAAAGTTTTGAGAATACAATTAACTTCTTCCTTCTTCTTTTTTTGCTTGTTTGCTTCCTCTTTGATTAAATGTTTATTCGTTCGTTTACTGATCACCATAATTACTTTTTTAAACACTTTATCAAGCAACAGAAAAGGAAGTCAACAAAAGACAAATTAACCTTGTGGCTTCAAAGTTGTTTCTTGTTTGTGACACATAATTCTTTTTTTTTTTCGAGTTCTTTTTTGACCTTTCTTTTTTCCACCCATCTACTGTACTTTCATCTCTATGAAATCATAAAGGAGAACAATTGAGCTTTAAGCTGATTTACACTTTGGGTAGTCTCAGTTTTCAAAAAGGAACTCTGTTTGTATCTTTGTTGTTATAATTTTGCAAAACTCATCGGTCTAGTCTGCTTTTGATGATCAAATGAAAGTGAACGAAAAGAAATTTGCGAAGAAAACGCTATATGTTTGTATTTTTTCCTTTGACCTCTAATAAATATCTTTTGTGCGTTAATTTTTTTCCCACATTTTACTCTCATTTCTTTTCTTCCCTCTTCTTTAAATCAACATTAGTCTCCTTCTCTCAAGAAGTGGCAAGACTGCTGTTGTTGTTTGCTGTTTGGATTCAAAGCGTTAGGTCGAAGTGATTGACCCTAGATGGCGAACCAACAGTTGTTATCAGGTATGAAGCAGATAAAAGAATAATCTGTGTTACCCTCCCACTCATCTACCTCTTTCAATTATTATTCTCATAAATCTAACTGATTTGTATAACTTATTAGCTGTCGTCAGCAGCCGAGACTCCACCGGTCGCATCTTAAGCATACTGTACGAGATTTGAGTTCTCGTCAGCTAAGATTTTTATATATATCAGACTGTTTTATGATGATGCGTTTATTTGATTTGACCAATCCACTATTTTACACAGCTTCTGCTCTATACCATCATTGACTGTTGACTGTTTTTAACGTCTATCATCGGCATTAACAATAAGATAGTATTATTAGAGAAAAGCTGACACGTTTTGTCATCTTATTTCCTTTTTTCTCTTTTCCGTCATTATCTACACAGAACATTCACTTCCGCTCATTTATGCACTAATAATAATAATTAGAAATGGCATTTCAGTTGCTTTAATTAGGAAAATTAAAAGTGTACAACTCAAAAGACGTTGTTTTTGTTGTTGTGTTACCGTTGCCATTGCTCTAGTTTTTTTTTTTTGCAAGTATCGCAATGGTTAATGATGCTTACGTTATTGATGATTAACAGTTTCCGGTCTTCTTACAGTATTTTTGTTAATTTCACTTGAACAGTTTTTTGCTTTTAGCTTACATAACCAATTGGTGGAAAAGCAACTTCAGTGAGTCCAACAAACGGACAAAACTGCCTGAGAAGGAAAGCAGTTCTTTGGATTCTTACGTTCACTCGGTTCAGAGCCGCACATTTACCACAACAATGGGCGGTCCAAAGATGGATAGCCAGGCTGTAGGCGTGGCACCTGAGTGCAGCATTGATACATCAACATTGATGTCTGAGCAATCTTTCAGCAACGCTCGAATCTCGATTGACTGTGGTAGCTATGAATACAGGTTGGCTTTATTTTTGTCTCTTATTTTTTTGTCAGCTTATTAAGTGATGCTGATTTCGACATTTATACTAAGTTGAGAAACTTTTGTTAATTTAATTTCATTAAAACTCAGCGTGTAGAAGTGGTTCATTAATGCAGTTTACTAATGGCTGTTTCTGAATTAGGCAATTGTTTATAGAGATTGTGACGCTTCTTGTATTGGTCAAGGTGGATTTGGAAGCGTTTTCCGGGGTGTTGAGACAACAACCGGTAAACCGGTGGCAATTAAGAAGATGCCGAAGGCAAAACTGAAGGAAAATGAGCTAAAAGTGATGAAGGCTGTTAGCAGCAGATTCCTTGTTGCACTTATTGACATCTGTATGGATACTTCCGAGTATATGTATATTATAATGGAATTATGTGATACTGATCTCGAACAACATTTGAGGTTCCGTACAACTGGTGGTCATCTTTCTTCAAACGATCTCAGGTGAAGAGATAAAGAAACGTTTCAAAAAAAGCTGTTTGAGTACAATTAATTGTGTTGCTTTTACTTCGCTGTTCTCGTTTGTTAATTGATGTGTTTTTGTTCAGTTCATGAGTATTCACTGAGTTTTCTTTTAGGCTACTGATTGATAACGTAACAAGGGGTTATCATGCGCTGTATGAAAGTAATATTGTTCATAGAGATATTAAACCGCAAAACATATTGGTCAAATATGACCCACTTAGGCAAGGATTTCAAAGTGCCAAGATCACTGATTTTGGCATTTCAAGGATTCTGTCGGAAGAGCAGAATCAATCTTTATGTAATATTGCCGGTACATTTTTTTATATGGCACCAGAAGTTGGTGCAAATATTTTGACGACAACAGAATACAATTATGAGATTGATATGTGGAGTCTTGGTTGTGTATTTTACCAATGCATCACTGGCGAGGTCAGTAGCTGTATTATTTGAAAAATAATTTCTCACTTTTTGAAATTTTGCGTTTTTTTTGGAACATAGTTGTTAAGCGA